TCCAATCAAATTTCTTGGATATTGGATATAGTAATTGGAAGCTTCCAATGGAAGCTTCCAATACTTCTAATACCAAAGTTAGTAATTTCATTAATTTTATATATATAGTTAACATATATTTGATAATCTTTATTTTCATCTCTAATGAAAAGACTTAGAACTCACCGTCTTACAAAATATATAAAGGTTTTAGGAAAACAAAATTCTTGCAATACTTATGCAGCATGTATTGCTTGTGTTAAAAAACTAGAAAATGATGAGCTTTTAAAAAATACTTTTACAAATAAAAAATCACAAGTCAAAAATTATTTAAAAACTGTTCATATTTTCAAGAAAAAATTGGAAGTCAAGAAGAATTAAATAATATTATCAATTTAACAGATAATGAAATAAAAGAAACAAATCAAAAATGGCAAAAAGTAAATAATGATTCAGGTAAGAATAATAAAAAAAGTTAAAATATTTAAAATTTTTAATATAAATTCAAAATTTTAAATTTTAATTAGTAGAAATAGATTCAATAAAGTTATTTGGATCATTTTCATCAACATCGTCATTTACACGTAACTCTAATTTTATAAAAATACAATTACAAATAATCTTATTTAAACTTCTACTAAAAATAAAATACCAAAATTTGAACGCCTCTTATTAAAAATATCAGTAGCAAATGGTTTTCCATTTCAGTAAGTAGATCATCCAACAACCTTAAAATTTTTTGAATTTTTAAATCCACACCTTATTTTACCAAATAGACAAGCTTTGTTTAATCATATATTAATAAAAGAAATTGAAAATTTAAATATTTTAAGAGATGAAAAATTGTTTAATAATAAAATTAGAGTAGTATTAAAATTTGATAGATAGAAAAACATTTTAAAACAACATATATTTGAATCATTATTAATATTATCTTCAGGCGAAATTTTAATATAGGATGCTTCAGATATTAGTAGTGAATGAGAACGATTAATTGAAGTAATAGCAAAAATAATAGAATTGATTCAAAAATTAAGAGATTAAATATTAAACTTAATGCAATTATATCTGATAGTGTACCAGCTTATGCTGCAACACAGTAAGTAAAATAAATAAATATTAATGTTTGTATTATTTAATTTAAAATTAATATTTATTTAATAATTTATTAATAGATGATGACTTCAATTAGAATATTTAGAAATTGTCTTTCTTCCTTGTTTTGCACAACAATGTCAATTGGCAATTTATAATATTTTTAAAGAATCACTAACCTTAAAAACTGCATTTAGTAAAGCAATTACAGTTGCTGCTTACTTTAAAAATGCTAATAATAGTTATTTTATTGGTAAATTACGAGATATTCAGAATGAGCTATATAACAATTATTATTCAATTATAATTCCTAGTGAAACAAGATAGAACAGTCATTATTTCTGCTTTAAAAGTCTTATTTAATCTAAACAAGCTTTGCGAGTAATATAATTTTTTAATTAATTATTATTTATAATAATATAATAATATAATAATTATTTTTTTTTATTTAATTTTTAGAATTTAGCAATTCGTCACGAACGTTTACAAATTGGTTCAGAAAATACCAATAAACTTTATCCAAATCTAAAACTTTGTCAAATACTTCTTGATAATGATTGGTGAAAAAAATTGAACTTTTACAAAATATTTTATTACCTTATTATAATGTTTTAAATAAGTTACAATATGATAAAGTACGTCTTTTTGAAGTGCTTCATGCTTTTGGTTATTTTATGCAATTTTGAAAACATTTTTCAAATTTAGATTTAAAAAATCAAATGATTAATCAATTAGAAAAACGTTAGAACCAATGGGAACAACCATTGTTATTACTTTTCTTTATATTTTATCTAAAATATCAGTTTGGCTATTTTAATTCTGAACTTGATAATTTGTCATTTACTTTTCTAAAATGGTATTTGACATACTATTATAAAGTATAGTTTAAAAAATACCTATTATGATTATTATTGGACTTTGAGAATTTTTGTCAGAAAATTGAATTATTTAATAATGAAATATTTGAACAATTTGAAGATGATGCCTTTAAATTTTGGGAATATGTAGAAGAGGATTATAAAGAATTGGCTGCAGTTGTTTTGAAACTTTTTGGTATGTATGTAAATGCAGCTTCTGTTGAATGAATGTAATTTTCCATGGGTTTTTTACATACAATTCGTCATAAAAGATTAAAAGTAAATTAATTTTATATTTAATTATAACAGTTATTTAATTTTTTTTGATGACGATTTATTAATTTATTTGATAATAGTTTATTAATTTCTTTTTATTTGATTATGGGTTCCTTTATTTGTTTATTTAATAATAAGTTATTTATACTCTTTTTAATTTATTTGACAGTAAGATTATTTTATTGATGAATTCTTTATTTCTTTATTTTGATGGCAGATTTTTTATTTACTTGATAATGTATCTTTATTTATATTTGTTTACCAAATATTTATTATTTTTATTTTATTTTAATAGAATGATAAAGTATTAGCAATAAGTTAACTTTGAACGTCTATTAACTTTTCATTAAGAAAAAAAGAATTACAACAAAATCAAGTCAAATTTTTAGATTTAAATGCTTTTCCAATTGAAACTGATTCTGAAGTTTTTGTTAAAGAAATTGATGATATTAATGAAGATAATACATTTATTACTTCTAAACATTAGAAACAATAATTAAATGAGTGAAAAAAAATGTTAAAGAAAGAAGAGTTAGTACGATTGGAAGAGGAAGAGGAGTTAAAAGATAATCCAAATATCAGTATGAGAAGTGATCTTTTAAACGAATATGAGGCCTTTGCAATAGAAAGGGAGGAAACTCAAAAAAAAATAAAAAATGAGTTAATAATAAATCTGAACAAATTATAATATTTAGAACATTTTTAGCTTATAAACTAAAATTTTAATTTTTTTGGAGTTTCCTCCCTTTCTATTGCAAAGACTCCATATATACATTCAGCAAAAGATAAAAAAGTAAAATGGAAGCTTAAAATTTTATTTAATTCAACTCTTAATGCTTTTGATTACTTAAATGTAGAAGAATCAGCAGTTTTTTCGTTCAATATATGATTTTTATTTAAAATTCGTCAATTTTGATTATTGATTATTTCGAATGATCCTTTTTTTTGGTTTTTTTTGATTCCTTTTTTTTGTTTATATTTAATTTATTTTATTTTATATTTTTATTTTTTTATTTTTTTTTTTAAATTTGTGTTTTCTCTATTTTTTTATTTTTTTTTATTTGTTTTTTACATTGTTAATTTTTAAAATTTTTCTTTTTTTGTTTTTTTTCATTTTTAATTTTTTTTTAATTTGTTTTTTACATTGGTAATTTTCTAAATTTTCCTTTTTTTCATTTAATTTTTTTTTTCCGATATATATAATTTTTTTGATTTTTTTAATTTTTGATTTTTTTTTTATATTTTCGTTTATTAATTTTTGATAGGAAAAATTTTACACTGCACCCTGCGATCATCATAAATTTATCTTAGAGGGCATGATATCAATATTTGATACCTCTAAAAAAAATATATAGAAAATATTAAACTAGCGATATAGCAATATATCACATAATTAAAATTTATTAGACTTTATATAATGCATATTACAAATAATAAAATTGATTAGAACTATATATTAACATCATGTTCTTTAAGTATATTATCCTTTCCTTTTTTATGATATGCAGCATTATGACTGAGTTGGCCACATATACGGCATTTATAAGTATTGTGATTTGAAGAACTTTTTGTATTTCTACTATTTCCTTGTTCAATTTTCACACTACTTTTATACCTTTTTGTTAGAGAACGTCCTTTGGTCTTTGTTTTAAGTGGATTTTGAATGTTTTGAAGTTCAAGTTTTTTAGTAATTGATTCAGTATTGTCATTAATATCCATTTGTTCCGTTTCATTAGTAAAAAGTATTAGTTCTTCATGCTCTTTAATAGATGGCAATGTAGATATTTCTGTTTGAGTATTTATTGAAGTTGATTTACTTTGCTCTTTTTTTCAATTAATATAATCTTGTAATAAATGTTCCATCTCATAATCGTCAGAATCCAATGCAAGTAATGTAGCTTTGCGTGCTATTCCCCATAATTTTTCATATCTTGTTCTTTTATTAATAGATTTCTTCATGATTGATACAGTTTTTAGAATAGTAATATCCTTACGTGATGGTAAAATCATTGCCAAATTATTGTTATTTTCAATATTATCTTTCTTATAAACAAATATTATATTTTCTTCATGCATTAATTTTAGTCCTTAATAAGAATCATGATACCATCTTTTCAGAATCATAGAAATATGAAAACCTGCAATTTTAGATGACATCATTACGCGAAAATAATAATGGCAAATAATTCCTCTTGATATTGAAGTTAAACATAAGCATAAAAAAGAAATTTCATTAGAAATTCCAATATAATGAATATGTGCCTTTTTTTCTGGTCGGATATCATAAATCTTTCATATTTCTTTAATATCTTTCTTTCCAATTTCATCAATAATTGATTGTAAAGTAATTTGTCGAGCTTCATAATTATCTTCAATAAAACTATTATCATATTGTTCTTCTAATTCCTAATAATCAAAATATTAATAATGTCATTAATTCTAATTCTAATTCTAACCCTAATCCTAACTCTAATTCCCTAACTCTAATTCTAACTAATTTCAACTCCAATTTTAATACCCTCCCGCTCGACTTTCAGCCTCGCTGCCCCCCTTGGGAGGTAAATAACCTAGCAAACCTTTATAATAATAAATTTGTTATCATACCTGTTCTTGATTAAGTTCCAATTCAGAAGGTGAAATTAAAATTACTTGAAGATATAAGCATTGTGCTATTTCTATTTTAATAGCATTTAATGTATTTATATATAAATACTTCTTTAATGTTTCAACTATTGATGGAAAAAGATCTTCACCCATTGATACTAAAATTGAACTAGTAGTTGAAGATCAATATTTATGAAATCTTTCCTATTGAATTTCTGTAATAAGCCGTTTAGCTAAGCACTCAACAAGTTGACATAAAGTAGAATTGCTTCTAATTGTTCTTTTAATAATACCATTCATTCCTTTAACTCGTGAAGTACTTTCAATACCAGCAGTAAAAATTTGTTGTAAATAATATCATGCCCATGATTTATTAGATGGCCATAATACTCTAAAAAGATAATCTTTAGCTAATGAAAATTTTTCTAATAAATCATTCTATCGCAAAAAAAACAGTGATTCATTAAGACTATTTCGATACTTATAGAAATTTTTAATAAAATCAGTATATTAGTTTCCTAATTTGACTTTTAAATTCTTTGGTAAATTTTGTCCAATATGATATATACAATGTGCATGATAACTATTTGGAAATTGAAGAGGAATTGCAGCATTTAAAGCTGGATCAGCATTAGTAAAAATTACAATAGGTTGTTTTTCTGTTGCCTTAAGTGCACATTGTAAGATCCATTGATAAGTCTCAAAAGTTTCATCACCAACAATAGCTTGTGCAAGTAATCTAATACGTCCATTATTATTAATACTAACAAATACACTTAAAGGCATATTGTATGTATTAGTTTTGGCTATATTATCATTGATTATAACATCATAATACTTAATCCAAAGAATAATTTGCTTAGAGGTCATCCAGAAAAGGTGAGTTAGACGATTATCTGTATTTAATTCAAATTTAAAAAAAATCGAGGATCTTCCTGTTTTTTTTGAACAAGGCTAATTAAAAGATTTGATGTATCATTATTCATATTGAGTCGATTGAAAGCTTTAAATCTTTGAATTGCATTTGCCAAATCAGAATCCTTAAAATTGA